ATATGTTATATGTTAATATATATATAATATAGTATATACATTATTAAATTTTGGTTTTAATCAAAATAACTAAAAGTCAAATAAAAAATTTTGGTTTTTCTATTATTTGATTTTGATTTGGTTTTTATTTTTTAATTTGGTTTTAAAAATTTTCAATTTATTCAGTTCGGTTTTTAACCGAATAAACCGAATGCTCACCCCTACATCTATAATATTATATCTTAATCATATAAGCAAAAAATAAGTATGATGAATAATAATTATTTTATTAGTGATATAAATTAAATGCAAATTTTAAAACCAGCCTAAAAATGAAACTATTTTCATATCTAGATGGTTTGACCTAATCTTCAAGGTAAAATGGGTCAACCTATGATGTCATAACTAAGTAATAAATATTAAAAAATATATAGAATCTCAAAGAAAAATATAAGCATTGTATAAAACATTTTGATATAGTTCTAATGTAATAAATTTATAATATTAAATATAAAAATAATAATTACTTTTATTAATGATAAAAATGGGATACAAGATTTAAGTAGAAAATGCAATTAAAATAATACTATTAAGTGCATTCAATTATTACCTCTCATCAAGTCTCACATTTAAGTCATTAAATTAATCATATTCTCTCTCTCTCTCCCTCTCTCTCATCCAATCCAACATTTATACTTTTGTTTCTCATCATTAAATTCCAGTAATAAATCAATACATAATAGTTATTAATATAATGAAATTTTATATTTTTAAAATAAACCTAAAAATGAAATCATATTTTTCCATCTAGGTGGTAAGTAAGTAGTTCAACCATTTGGGTCAAATGGATAATTCCATGATGTCATAAATAAATAATAAAAAATATAAAAAATAAAGAAATTTTGAAAGTTTTGGATGCATTTCTATTATTATATATTTTTCATTTTTAAAAAATAAGTATGATAAAATAGACATAATTTTATTAATGATGGACACGGAATATAGAACTTAAAACCGATGGGAAATGAAACAATTTTCCAATTAGGAGGTGGATTAGTAGTTCAACCTTTTAGATCAAATGGGTTAACTCATGATGTATAATTAAAAATAAAATTTTTAAAATAGAATCATACCAAAAATACGAAACAATTTTGGGCACATCTATAATATTATATATTAATCATATAAATAAAAAGTAAGTATGATGAATAATAATTATTTTATTAGTGATATAAATTAAATACAAAATTTAAAACCAATATAAAAATAAAACCAATTTCATATTTAGATTGTAGGTTAATGATCTAATCTTCTAGGTCAAATGGGTCAATCTATGATGTCATAATTAAGAAATAAATATTAAAAAAATGTATAGAAACTCAAGGAAAAATATAAGCTTTGTATAAAGCATTTTGATACAATTCTAATGTTATATATTCATAATATTAAAAATAAATAAATATGAAAATAAAAATTACTTTTATTAATGATGAAAATGGAATAAAAGATTTAAAATCAACCAAAAAAGAAAAATGATTTTTTCCATCCAAGTGGTGGATTAGTGGTTCAATTGTCCATATCAAATGGGTTAACACATGATGTTATAATTAAATAATAAAATACACAAAATTATGAAAAAATGTAGATAAATTTGGGTACATTCTATGATATTATATATTCATCATATAAAAAAAAGTGTGATAAATGAGAATTATTTTCATTAATGATGGAAATGGGATAAAAATTAGGAAAAATAAAGCATTAATGTTTAGCACATGACTCCACTAACCATGTCAAATAGTTCCATGACTTAATTACCTAGGTCACCGTAGGCAAGTGGTTTGGTGGCAAATGAACTGACAATCTTGAATTGGGTGGTCATCTAATCAATCTAATAAATTGATTTGACCCCAATATTAAAAACCAATATCAAATAATATATTGGAAGTGCATTTTCTCTTGTTAAATAAGTAATTTTTATTATGTCATAAATTAAATAATAAAAAATAAAACTATAGATTTTTTTTTTATAAATTTTATGGAACAAATTAATGTATTAACCATAGCCCATTTTCCTGGTTAAATAGGTTAGTGGTTCTATTAGTAAGGACCTCATTTGGTTCTTGACCAAGTCAATGGTTTTGTTTTCTTTTTTTGCAATAAACTAATTTAGGTTAAAACATACTAAAAAAATGTGTCCAATTGACAAACCAATAAATCCAACTCTATGGTTCAACTGCATGTTGAAAATTTTAGTAGAAACTATAAGAGCATTTGAAGTTAGGTCTTTAAGTTGAACGACAATATATACACTGCCACGTGCAACGTACATGCACTTTTACTAGTTATAATAAGTGTTTAAATCTCATACTTGCACGACACTACAGCTGCATATCAAATAGTAACTTCTAAACACTAATAAATTTCTAAAAACTTAAAACCCTATTCTTAAGACATATCCATGCTAAAAAATAAAATAAAAGACTGAAGCAATTCTAATATCCTATCATTAATAGCTTATTCACCGAGTCAGGGGCTCAGGTTTCCACGCCCCATTGGGGATACTATAATTTGGCCCAGGGTTTAGAAACGTTAATTAACTGGTATGAGCTTGCTAGCCTAGTCATGTAGGCTGCCATTGTTTATCTGTAAAATGAATGTAAAATTTTTCCGACCGAAATATTTTCTCTTACTTTTATCTTCTTACACAGAAAACTTTGCTGTTATCCTTTCTAATTCATTTTGAGGTAAATAATAAAGAAAGCTAAACTTCTACTGTAAAAGGGGCAACAAATATAGCTCAAATATTTCAGTACCTGAACAATAAATTCAACAATTATACATTGAAACAAATAGTGCCTTTGAGAATAAGGATCTGAAATGAAAACCTTCCATGTGGTGACTGGTGAATCTAGTGAGCTTGGGGCTAAAAAGCGTCTTAGAGCTTTTCCTATCTAGTCTCACTCTCTATTTTGAGATCTAAATAAGTTGGAAGTTTTCAATGGGGACCAATGGTTTGGGACCTAAAAATCGTGTGTCTCTTCATCCTCTGTCCATGCTTAGTTTCAGCCCAATATAAGCCTTGGCTTTATTTATTTATTTTTGTGGGATGGGCCCAAGCCAAGCAAGCCCAAAAATGTATGTATATGTGCATGTATGTGCTATAATATATTACCATATACATAATAACTTTTTAGATGTATTTATTTTTTTTTTTGCAAACTTGATTATAAAAGGGTCATTTACTAGAACACCCCTTATAGTTTGCAACCTATTTACTTAATTGATCTTTCATTAAGAACTATTTGTTTTGCCATCTTAAAATAGTAACATGATCACCTAAACTAAGTGAAAAATGTTCAAGGGCATGGACCCATGGTTGTTTATTTCAAAAAGTACCCTAAACTGAGTGAAAAAGGTTCAAGGGCATGGATCCATGGTTTTTATTCCAAAATTACCCTTAACAAATTTTTGTATAAAGAGTAAAATTGACTAAATAGAGAAAAATAGAATGATTGTCTATGTTTTACTAGGGGCAAAAATGACATTTTTATTTTTAATCTTTCAAGTAAATTTATTTAAATGGATGTTAGGGTTAAGACTATCATTTTCCACTTTCATCTAATAGAAGGCTGATTAAGTAAATCGATTGCAATCTATAAGAGATGTTTTAGTAAAACAAAAATTACAGGGTAGGTTTAAATAAATATGCAAAACTATAAGGAGTGTTCTAGTAAATGACCCATTATAAAATTAAATTAAAGTTTTATTTTTTAAAATACATAAATTTAAATATTATTAATTCATATGGGCCAGCCCATGACCAAGCCCAATGTTGGGGCCAGGCCGGGCCTAGGCAGACCTCAAGGACATTAGTGCCCCATAAAAACCCAACCCGGCCCATGATCATCCCAGCACCCTGCACTCTCACCACCCCCGACTCCCTACAAACTAGAAAAATTATTAAGACTGCATTTGTCATTCTTTATTTTAAATACACTTATGAACACTGAACCGTCTATCACGTATGCAATTGTCGATAGCCCGAGAGGTGATGGCCATGATGCATCTGAGTCGGTTGTCGGTTGACTTAAAATTCTTAAATGCTGGTTTTGTCCTCGAATGTCTGCCTCATCATCATTTATAAGGAACAGAGTAAAGACAAAAACGAACCACAGTTGATCCATTCACAGAAGATGCCAAGAGCTCAAGATCACAAGACGAAAAGAAGTATTTTCTGGGACTACGGGCTAGTCGTTGGAGGTGGAGGACCATAACTTCGCCATGTGTGCTGCCGATGGAGGAAAGGAAGAAGCCAAGGTTCCACAATGACCCTTTTGAACCTGGACAAAATTAGCTTCGAGTATGAATGCAACTGCTGTGAAATACATTTGGACACGGTACAATGCCAGCTTGGAGACACCCTCGTAGGAAATTTCTTGGATGTTTCTCAACATAACGCCAGAGTAAATTCAGTAAAAACCAATTTGTAAATCAATGATCTGTGGAAATGAAATGAAGTTGTTCACTTGTCCCAATTCCCAAGGCAGAATATCCCCTGATTTTGAAACCAACTGTTGATCAAGCCTTTTGGTAATGCAATATCTGGGTTCTGGCCTTCTGGGACCTGATTGAAATCTGAAAATATGAGAAATTGTTCACTCAGAAAAAAAAATGCAGTGATTACTTTAATGGAAAATTGGAAATTAATCAAATTATTGAAATCAAACTCACTGAGAACCGGACTCCTGGGAATTTCTCAAAATTTTCTCTCAAACCAAAGCTTTTCACCAGTTAAAGAGTTAGAAAAAAGGAAGAAAATGTAATGTTAAAAGCAGATGGCAAAATTGCAATGGAAGCAGGAAGCATTGCTCCACGTGCAATGTACCAGAAGACACGGTCTCTTGCCCAAACTTCAATTGTTTTCTACATGCAACAGCGTGGCCTGCTAGCATTTCTCACTATTAAAATACCACAAAATGTGATGGGCATAATGCCACCCATAGCTGGACGAACACCGATTTTGTACTTGGCTACTGCATTAGTTTTCTATTTTTTGCTTCATTTTGCATTTCCTTTTCATTTGAGTGATACAAAAATTACACGTGAAGAGAAGAGCACTTACAGCCCTTGGTTGAAGAAGAAAAAATTGAAATGGAATAAAAATAAAAATATAAAATTTTCATGACTGGTAAAAGATCAATTTACACTCATCTGGAACCAAGTGGGCACATCTCTCTCTCTTCCCAGTACAAGGGGAACCAGAAGTTTTCTTAGCCATCCGGAGAGATCACTCATGTTTCCATTCTCAAGATTTCCTCCTTGAAGCTTGCCGCAGTTGTATGAGGTGGGTTCTGAGGCTATTCTCCTCTATCTGCTTCAAGCAAAACACGAGTCTGGTTAAAGACTAATTCAAGGCATGATTTTTGTATTGRATTGCATACATATGCATCTACTGTGGTGAAAACTTACCACCAGAGGACAAATGAGAAGAATGAAACAAACTATTTTCTATTGTAACTTTATAGGGCTTATTATTTCAGAACATTCACCAGCTTGCTGATATGATCATTAAGAGTATACCACAATAAAAATATTGAGAAACCAAAACCTCAGGATTGCATTAAAAAGGTAGTCCAATGAGCTGCAAATTTACTACCATGTACCTTCTCTTTTCACTAGCAATGGCAGAACACTTTATTAAGAAAACAAAGACTGGAGGTTCAGGTGAAGAAGAGGATTCAAAAAGGAAAAAAACAATTAATTGTAATACCAGACTTTTCCTCAACAACCATTCTCCCTGCTATTAAAAAATCCCCAAAGAAGGTGCATGAGATATTCATGTTTGACAAAAAGGACACCTCCCCAACTAATCTTCAAAAGCTTCTTTTCAGATTAGACATAATCCTTGTATATTTACTCCTATTATAAGTGAGGGTACTTTTTGTATTTTCATGAGGGGATCTGCCTGGTACATAAGAAATGGGATGTGCCCAATTCAGCAGCAAAGAACAAGTTAATGGCAACAATGCTAACTCTTAGCTTCATGCCCAGACAGTCATTCCAAAATTTCAGTTAATTTATTTTCCTCTCTGCATTTTATTTCTCTCTCTTCTTGAACATGCAAATGTGCCACTCGATAGTATATCAATTTTTTGTGTGCGCTGTGCAAGCATATTTCCTTATTTACCTGCATTGCTGTGGTTGAAGCTAATAGATCTTCACACTCATCAAGCACAGCTCTTTCCTGTGTTGCTATATCAGCAAGTTCAGAAACAAAATGGTTTATCCCCTCCACCTATACATAAAAAGAGAATGTTCAATTTTCACTCTCCAGAATAATAATTCATTAAATTGAAGTCTACTTACTAAATACCAATATTCAAAACCCCATAAACTCATCTATAAATTTTAAAAGCACTGTTTTATATTGGTATCATTTAAAAAAGAAGTAAATAAATGCCAACTTATTGTAGTTCTTTTGAGTGCATGTGAATATGGGAGAAGCACAAGGACCACCAACTAGAGGTGAAGAGAAAAATAAACATTAAGAAACTCCCAGCCTGACCAAAGAAATGGACATAACATGCATAACCTTCCTGCCTCACTCATACCCTTTAAAGTAACTACAATATCACAAGAAACAAAGTGGACTAGAAACACCATCATGAGAGAATATTCAGTAGATATTAATAGCAAATTTTCCTTGTTCTGTAAGCATGGATTCTACTAAATGGACCACGTCTATGGTGGACAACTTGGTAGATTATGATACTGCACGATTCTTGAGGGATGCTTCTACTGATTATTTTCAATTTTTTTCTCCTTGACATATAGTATACATAATTGTAATATAGTTATTTTTCACCTACCAGCTTGCAGAACCCCCAAAATTTTCTCCCTAACCCTTAGAATGCAAGACATCTACATAAGAATAATTAATTCCATCTTTTCCTATGAAATCTCCTTCCATAGAAAAAATGAACTTCTACATGTGTTTTGTGCTCCTTCTTGTCTATGATGTTATAATTCATAATATATTGGAATTTTAATAGTCAATACATTTTGTAGACATGCCCTTACTTTCCATGTTTTCTTACATTTCAAGAAATCTACAATAAAATTCTGGTTCAAATCTTTGCAAATGAGAGAGATCAGGTTCAGTTTCAGTTGCTGCATTGGTATAGCTAGAGTAGCAGCAGTCCAGCAGTAATAGGTTCATTCTTTAATGCAGTTGCTTACCTATAAGGATGTAACACCAAATATTCAGCAGCAGAGAAAAATTCTAGAGAGCTATAGCCTCTCCTTTTGCCTATTCCTTTCAGACAGAAAACATGCAGTAGCATGTCTTGAAACTTAAAACCATTACCACAGTTCTTAGCATAACTTTGGTTTTGTCTATTGATAATTTTCTAGATTCCACCAAGGTAATAAAACTTTGAGAGTGAACATTTTATAAGCAAAAACAACCCTGGTATTATGATACTGGATTTGAGAATAATGGAAGTATTCTTCTCATGCATTCCTATGTCAAAGTTGTTTCCTTCTTGAAAGGTATGGGAATGCTATTGAGTGAATGGAAAAGGAGGCAACAGGCAACCTGTTGGTTTGATGGTTTCCATGCTGGGATGGGTTCGAGGGGTTGATGGAAATGATGGAGCACAGTATTTAAAATATATGTATTATGATGATTTGGTGAAAAATATGGAAAAACCTGGTCTCTATGGTGAGAAATCCCAAGGGGAGAAAGGTCAGCATTGTAGTTGATGATGACACCAATAAAAATATATTTTTTGTGACCTTGGAGAGAATTGAGTTCGTTGATCTGAGTTAGTCTCTGTTTTTAGATGAGAGCCATGGGTTGCTGGTTTTGGAGATATATTCTCATCTAGAGATTATGTACATGATAGAGATGGGCTTCATAATGGTTGTGGTGATGTGGAGAAAGTGAATCAGAGACTGACAGGGAGGTGGAAGGCTATATGGATTATGGAGAAGATTATATGGATTATTGAATGGGATAATTCCACCTCTCAAGGTAGATGATTTGAAAAGTGAAATATGGGATCTTTCTTTGCTTGAGGTTGCATTGAATTCAGGCAAGTGTTCAAGATGAGGATATGCTCATAGGTTGGATGCTTCTGATAAGAATGTTACTGCTGGAAGATGTATTTTGGAGGACTGTTATTAAGGATCAGTTTGGGAGGAGTACAAATACAAATATGTACAGTGCAAATACATACAAAATACAAGGTTTTGTACTCTACATATTTGTATTTGTACTCCTTCCAAACTGAGCCTAAGGGTCCATTAGTTCACAGCCAGAATTGGAATCAGAACCGGAATGGTCTATTCCCATAGTCTATTTGGTTCAGACAGGAATGGGAATGGAAATTGGAATAAGCTGGAATGAGATTTCATTCCCAAGGGAGGGGGAGGGAATGGCAATTCCCTCAAATGGGGGAATGCCATTCCACCAGGAATGGGAATGGGATTCTGATTCTGCCCAACCAAACAGTTGGGTCCATTCCGATTCCGATTCCAGACCCCTATTCCTGTGAACCAAACGGGCCCTAAGTTTCTATAGGAAGGCTGAGGGTTGATTTGGGCTGTAGAAGAAATGTTGGTGAAGGGATTTGTAACAATATTGACATGCTAGGGATAGCTCCTGAGAATGATAGTGTTAAGATGCAAGGGTGTGCTTTAGAAGAATCAATTGGTATTGATAAAGAGAAGTGGTTGACATCCACAGTAAGGTGGTTTAAGGAAGGGGACAACAACTCTAGCTTCTTCCATAGTTATGCCACAGGGAAGTGAACGAAATATATCATTACTAAATTGAAGGTAGGACAAAGAGAAGTGGTTGACAAGGAAGAAATATCTGATGCTGTCCTGAGTTATTCTAAAGAGTTGTACTCAGATGGAAGTAGGAGGCTGATGTTAAATAGCTAGGAGAGTTCAGTTCTATGAGAAGACAAGAAAGACTGGTTTGAAAGAGAATTTGAAGAGCAAGAAATCAGGGATGCTGTGTTTAATATGGATGGGGATAGATCTCCTGGGCCGGATGGATTCCCCATGTTCTTTTATCAGCTATGTTGGGACACCATAAAACAAGATCTTCTGGAGGTGTTCAAGGGTTACTTTCAATTGGCCATTGTGAACAAAAGTAACAATTCGACCTTCATTAGCCTAATCCCCAAGAAAGAAGGAACCTTAGATTTCAAGGACTTCTGACACATTAGCTTGATAGGGAGTATCTATAAAATTCTGGTGAAAGTCTTGGCAGGAAGATTGAAGAAAGTGGTGGGACTGATTATATCCTCCAACCAATAAGCTTTTATTAAGGGAAGGCAAATAATTGATAGCATCTTGATAGCCAATGGAGTATGTTGAATAAAGAAGACAACCAGGAAAGTTGGGTGTGGTAATCAAACTTGACCTGAAAAAAGCTTAAAACAAAATTGATTGGGGATGCCTCATGCAAATTTTGGAATCAAAAAGTTTTGGGAGAAAATGGATGAAATGGATAAAAGGGTGCATTGGCTCTACTTGGTTCTCAGTGATGATAAATGGAGAGACAAAAGATTACTTTAGTGCAGGTCGAGGACTTAGATAAGGTTGTCCTCTTTCCCCTCTACTATTCACTTTGGTGGTAGATATTCTTAGTCATCTGATTGAGAAAGCAAAGATGTTGAATTTGGTGAAAGATTTAAAAGTGGGGAGGGATGTAATCAACATTTCACATTTACTATCCGCAGATGATATTATCTTGTTCATGGAAGCAGATTTGGAAAATATTTTAATTTTGAAGTGGGTGATTAATTGCTTTAAATTAGTTTCAGTCCTTCAAGTAAATTTCTCCAAAAAGTAGCTTTGTGGGTATAAACATAACTAACTTGATTCTTGGAAAACTTCAAGGAGATCTTGGACTGCAAAGAGGACAAATTCCCTATTTCTTATTTGGAGATGCCTCTTGGTGGGAACCCAAGGAACTCAAGTGTTTGGGACCCAATTGTGGAAAAATGTGAAAAAATGTTGGCCATGTGGAAGAAAAACTATCTAAGGGGGGCATGCTCACTCTAATTAAAGCTTCTCTTGCTAATTTGCCTATTTACTTCATCTTGGTTTTCCAAATCCCGGTCAAAATAAAAAGCCAAATTGAAAATCTGTAGAGAGACTTTTGTGGGATGGTGGAGGGGAGAAAAGCAGTCATTTAGTAAGTTGGGATCAGGTGTGTAAACCAAAGGAAACATGTGGACTTGGACTTGAGCATATTAAGGAAAGGAATATTTCCATCATTGGAAAATGGTTGTGGAGATTTCCTATTGAAAACAGTGCTACACTGCTACTTGGACACCCATCATTAAAAACAAGTACGGAAAGGATGCAAATGGTTGGCATAGCAAGCTCCACTTGAATAGGGTCAAAGCCACCAGTACTTGGAAAGGTATCATATCTACCTACAACTTCATTCCTTTTATTGGATATAGAATGGGTAATGGAAATAGAATCAAATTTTGGACATACACTGGTGGGGTGAGCACACCTTGGCAACCTCTTTTCCTAAAATTTTCAGCCTTTCCCAATCCCAAGATGCCACCACCATTTCTTCTTGTCTTCCTACCTCCCCCTTGAAACAAACTGGAACCTTGACCTTAGAACCTCTGAGAGATGTGGAACTAGGTGAAATTGTTGATCTTCTGCATAGCCTTAGAGAGGTTTATATTTCCCCTCTCTTCCTTGACCACATCTAGGAACTTACCTTGTCAGTATGTTCTCTACAAAATCCTTCTCCCGGGCTCTTATCTCAGGTCACCTCAGCTCTAGATTCCCCTTTGAAAAGATCTGGTACCCTCTATCCCTCCCAGATTCTCTTTCTTTGTGTGGAAGTGTGCCTACAGAGAATTAATACTTGTAATCTCCTTTAGAAAAAACATAGAGGCAGACTACATATTTCCCTTCATGTGTGTGTTCTTTGCCTCTGGGAAAGTGAATTTGCTGATCATCTTCTCTTGCATTGTAAAATAACAAGAAGAATTTGGAGTCATTTTCTGGTTCTGGCAGGTTACAGTTGAGTTACCGGTTACCCCTGAACATATTCTAGAGTTTTTGTGGCAATGGCATGGCAAAGGACTTGGTAGGAGGGGCAAAATTTACTGGATAAAAGTAGCACATGCTGTAATGTGGGGAGTTTGGGAAGAAAGAAATAACTGCATCATTGTAAACGAATATAAATCCTATGAAGGGCTCATCTCTTATATTACCCACCTTTGTAAGTTGTAACTTGTGGGCTGTTAA